AAAAGGCCGTTAAAATACCTAGAAGAATGACTGAAAAAGCCCCAATATCAACTAACAATATCATGAAATATCAGAACATGAGGAATAAAGAAAACCCTACAAAACTCCAGGGACGAAAACAAAATACTAGGGATCAGAAATCAGAATGACATCAACTTCTCATCAGCACTATCAGAAGGGAGAAGAAAATGGAGGGACACTTTCAAAATTCTGAGAGAAAATTATTTCCAATGAATATCCTATACCCAGTCAAACCATCAATTAAGTATGAATGAAGAAAAACATCTTAAATGTGCAAGGTCTCAAAAAGCAACCAGGTCTGTGGGACCTGGATCTTTTATAATTTGGGGAACACTCTTTAAGAAAAAGTCATGAAATTACAAATAAAATTGGGTGTGAAAATGAATGTTCATTTAGAGTGAGAAAAGAAATCACAACAAACTGGAGCCATGGAGGTTCAGGGCTCCTTCTTTTAAAATCTTTTTAGAAAATTTACCAAAATGCTTCTTGATGTCAACCTGGCCGCTCTCTGCTCAACCACTTGCAGCAATTTGCAGCCCTTACAGGGGCCTCCTGAGCTTCATCAGCTCCGGGATAGATGTGCCTATGCTTCCACACACCCTTTCTCAGGAAGCTATGCTCCAGCAAAACCAAGAAATGAGAAGGCACCGAATCCAAGAAACAGGAGTCCAGGACAATTCCAAGGGTGGTAGCGAGGGAGTTCTCAGTCTAATAAGGGGCTCAGAGAATAACCACTCCCAGAGGATGGAGGGCGGAACAGAGATGTTTCCCAGGAAAAGTGAAAAGAAAACTCTCTACTTACTTGATGTTTAACTCTATTGAGAGAAATTTTACCATCTAGTCAAAATTTGAGCAAGAATTGGTAGAGTACTCAAAAAACTAAGCAATTGAAGAAGACGTAACGCTAACTCTAGGGGACAGAAAAAGGTTGTACAAGAAAGGAAGTGTAAAAATCATGGTATATCACGTGGCTCAGTTGCGAATATTTTTTACATAGTCATAATAATGTAAACACTAAACATCACTATATCAAAAAATTAGGATATAACTATATTGGGACTTTGCAAGAAAGGGCAGTAAATGTGAGATAGAATAATGGGGGGAAGAGAGCTAACTTCTCATCCTCCAAGGCAGGATGTCGCTAGATATTATCTAGAACTAGAGTAAGAAAAAGAAATAGCCAGTATTAGCATGTTATTTGGGAATATGGTGGCGAATATGAGAAAGACATAGTCAAAAGCGCTGAAGGTCATTCCCTCAAGGGAGGACGCTCAGTATAGACTCAGTAAAAACCTTGAAGAACTTACGACTTCTATGCATTTATTTGTTGACCACAACAGAAAATTAAAGAAGAAAGTAATAGCTTCAATAGGAGCGAGACAGAAAGCTACTGGAAACAAAATGAAGGTGCCTCTGCTAAACTACCCCAAATTCAGTGTTTTTCAAGTTGTCCTGCAACCACCTGCATTTAAATTACCTGGAGTGCTAGTTTATCATTCAGATTTACAGACCCATCTGAGACCTAAACAATAAGCATTTCTTGGGGTGAGCCTTGGAATCTACAATTTAAAAAGGTTCCCCTAGACCCACTGCATTATCTATTGCTAAAGTAACCCAAAGAACAAAAAAATAATAAAATGAAAAACAACTTTTGTAGAAACAAAGAGTCAATGACCCAGAAAACATACCATGGCAGACACTGCCGGTTGCTTACTCAATATCCATTCTCCCTTTCTTCCTTATTAACAGAATCCCTATTTTGTTGTACTGGCAATATGTCCTACCAAAACACTGGATTTTCTCAGGCTCCCTTACAGTTAGGAGTAGCTATGTGACATAGTTCTTATATGAATGAGATATAAGAAGTCTACTGGGGAGAGCCTTCAGGAAAGATCTAATTATTATTAAAAAAAAAAAAAAAAAAAAAGGAGAGACTCCATTGGTACATGCCTGGCCATTCTCTCTAGTAAGCACAGAAGAGGTGCCTAGCTTTCAGTGAGGACGAAAGCAGTCCACTGAGGAGGGTGGTGCAGGAGCAGGAGACAGATGGAGCCTACCCCAGCCCTGGACTTCTCACCTCCAGACATCTGGTTGTCTCAGAAAAATTCCTTACTATTAAGCCACTGTAGTAGGGTTTTCTGTTACTTGTAGCTGAAGGAAGTCCTAAAGACATCTCGTACTTGTCACATGTGTATTTGATATATATTGAACACCTTTATCGAGTGCTTACTACAGGCGGGCACTGTGCTACGAATAACACAATGGGCCAAATAAGGCTCTTTCTCTCATGGAATGTGGATACAGTCAGAGTAGAAGAATCTACAGGTATTTGACTCCAGGATTCGGGGAGGCTAAGGTTTGCTGTCACAGATCCCAAGGCAAGAGAGTAAATCAAACTAAACCACTTGATTTATGTGTCTAGGAAATCCTCAGGGGACCACGTGCCAGAAAGAGCAACAGTGGGAACGCTGGGAGACTTAGGTTTTAGCTGTAATTCCGCAGCAAAGTAGGCTTGGGGAAGCAACATGGGGTACTTGCTTAATTTTTCCTGAATCCATTTTCTTCTTTAAAAAACAAGACGATTGAGCTTAATAATCTTTAAGGCTATCCTCAGCCCTAAAATATTTCTGTGATTACACTGAACACAGATGGGCATGAAATATACCAAATAGGAATGTTTCTAAATTTAGATTCTAAGAGTTCAAGTCAGAGAATATATTAAATGAATGTTCAGGAAAAACAAGTCACAAACAACTCCCCACCCCAAAATTAAACAAACAACCTGTGGAGTGAGCTGTGCTGTTATGGAAGAAGTTCTGCTTTGAGTCCTGGCCCTGCCACAAAATAGCTGGGTGACCGAGGCCAGATCCTCAGTCCCTCTCTCAGTTTCAGCTTCCTTGTTTATGAGTTTATGAATAGGCTATTACTCTTACCTCACAGTGCTGCTCATGGAAATCGCCTTGTACTGTGTAAAGCCCCATTATGATCTGATACCAGCAAGATAGTGATTAATGGCTTATAATATCTGAATCCGGTGAGGGAAATATAGGAGTGTGCTCTGATATCTTGTTTCATTCCTCATCACATAAGGCTGCTAGATCCTTGGAGTTTCCATCTCCCTCCCATAGTGTACCTTGTGACCCATTTTATTTTTACACAAGAGAACAAACAAGAAAAACAAAAACAGCTAAAATTCAAATCATCTCTGTGTATTTGTAGCCCCAGTAAAGGTTTGTGGGAGAGAGCCAGCTGGTTAAAAGGGAAGCTGAGTTCAAATGAAGTGTAGAGATGATGCCCTTACCTTTGGCCTCTAATTGTTGATATTCAGTGTTGTATAGAACTGTGAGTAATCTAGTTTTTTATCTTATGACCTGGCTATAGAACCAAATATGGATCTGAAATCTGTCTACATAGGCAGCTATTAGTTGAAAACACAGACTGACTTCCATTCTTTTACCCACAATTATAAAACGTTTTGCGATAACAGGCACTTTGGCTATGGGAGTGGCTCCACATACAGTAAAACTGTCCTTATCCATTTTCAACAAGCAGATGCATTCGAGGAAAAGAGATAATCTTTTCATTACAACCAATGCAGGTAACATCTGTACTTTGACCAATTAGGCATGACAGCCGATGTGAACTTGAGGGTGGGAGAGAGACAAGAAAGCAGAAGTCTTTCTCTTTACCCCTTTTCTACCCCAGTCGTTGCCAAATCCTGACCATCTCAAAGTGCCATTTGCTAAGATTAGGCAAGAGACATAACCAAGGACATATTGGAGAAGACCCCAAATAGAATAACTGGTGGCAAATGTGAAATTCAATAGCTTCAGCCAGGCCACTGCAACCAGCACCCATCAGAAGGGCAAGGGAGGAATGCATAGAAGAGACGGAAAAATGTGCAATATGAGAGAAGTAGTTCACTGCTTCCACCTCAAATGGAAGAAGTGAGGGGAAATCAAGGCGCTTTAAAAAGGAAATCGAAGGAAAAAAAAAAAAAAAAAGGGAAATTGAATGCTTGGCTCCACAATACCAGAACAAATAATACACAACCAGAAATAATGCCTTGGTCTCTGCTTATGTCAGGCACCCTCCCCTTGTAAAACTAAAGGATCGTAGTCAATACATCCTTCATATCAATTCCATATCTCTTCCAGAAAATCTAAGAACAGAGGGTAACTACATCATTATTAAGCCATTGAACTCTGTCATGAAGAACTAAGTCTGAAGAGCCATCGCCCCCATACCGCAGTGTATTATGATTCTACCCTACCGTGTCTAACATGGTGCAAAACCCTGATTACAGTGAATCAAGGTTGCACATGTGGTTGAAAACAGTACGTGTTTCCTATGAAAAATAAGCCATACTACCCATTAAAGCGAATGTAAAAGTACAAGTAAAATTCTTATGCCACTTTATGAGCCAAACAGCCCGGTGGGTGGGGCGATGGGGCAAACGGCCTGCAATGAGGTGGAAAATGGCAGACACCGAGGGGAAACGCGGAAGAGACGGAAGGCAGCGGTCACTTCTGTGACTATTAGAAGAGTGTCTGGCTAAAATTTTTAAATGATCTATTTCATAAAGCCGTCAGTTTCCCTTCTTGAAACGCAAGTCTTTTTTACATCTAGGGCTAGATCCTATCTCCAGAGGTCATCCTTCTGGACCCAGACGGGGTCACCTAAAACTGTTTTTTAGGTCCAACGTAAACCTCCCCAACCACTGCTAATCTTACCCCTTTGCTCCTGAGATCCATTTCTACCCACTAGCCCATTAGCGGAAGCTGAATAATAGTTCAGGGGACTTTATCAATCAATCGCCTCTTATTATTAGAGTCCAGGCTTCCTGCCCAAAGGAAAGCATCCGGTCCGTGTATTTGGGGATTGGCGCTAACCGGGACAGACAGCAGGGGTGTGAGTGCCCACGGCTATGCGCGGACTGAAAACAGCTCTGGGTCTCTGGGCCAGAAAGGAGCCATCACCTGCAGGGTGTTCTGGGATCCTGGGGGCGCAATGGAAGGCAGGGGCTTCACTCTTCGAAGCTCCTCTCACCGGGCAACACAGTCGACCTGCCTGGCTGCGGACGCAGCAGTATTCACTCCGGGGCCGCCGGCGGTCGGACGGAGGGGCGAGGCGCGGTAGGAGCCGCGAGGTGCGCCCGCCCCCTGGCCCGCAGGGGGTTCCCGGGTCAGCTTTCCCAACCGCCGGCCCTCCCCCGCCAACCCCTCCCCGAGCTCTCCCACGCGGCCTGACACCCCTCTCTGGCCGAGCCCCCTCCCCGCCCGAGTTCCACCCCCCGGCCCAGCCCCCTCCGCATCCCAGCGTCTTGCTTACAGCCCACGTCTCGCCTGCGCCGAGCACCTCCGAGCCGTCCGCCGCCCGCCCTGCGCGCCGAGTGCCGCCGCCGCCAGCAGGTGCGAACGCCCCGCCCGGCCCTCCCCGCCCCTGACCGCCCCTCCCCTGCCTTGCCCGAGTGCTGGGCCTCCCGTCTCAATGCCCGCACTGCCCTCCACGCCCCTGACCTTTCCTCCCTGACCTGGCCCCGGGCACTCCTTAAGGTGTGTGCTCCAACAGGGGCCATTCCGGGCACCCAAGGTGGACTCCGACCAATCATGACCTCCTATGATGCAGAGCAATTACAGAGCCTGGGAGGCGGCGAGGATGAGGACTCAGAGCAGAGGCCGTCACAAGGAACACTGGTTATCAAGCCAAGCAATCACGGTGAACACACCGGAGAACTAGTCATGGATTAGCCTCCAGCAAAGGAAGGCCCAGGTGTCATATCCTGGACCAGGATCCAGTTTTCTAGTTTAAAGTTGGTATCACATGGATTCATTCATTCATTCACTCATTCATTCCATTCATTCATTCATTCATTCAAATCTACCACATGCTAAGTAGGCACAGTTCTAGGTGCTGGAAATAGAGCTGCGAAGGAGACAAAATCCCTGCCTTGAAGGAGCTGGCTTCTCCTAAGGAGCACATGATTATCTTTGTAGGTGTCGTGTGGTTTCAATACCCTCCTTTGTAAGTGAAGGGGTTGGCCTAGCCGAATAGTTCCCACCCTCTCTGCTGCTCATAATCGCCGTGGAAGTTAAAAGAATCAAGAGCTGAGGCTCCATCTCGGACCTCCTGGTCAGAATCTGGGGGAGGAGTGCTGGCAGAGGTACCTGCTAGAAGCTTCTCAGGGGACAGAGGAAGTGAGGGTTGAGAACCTGCCTCTAGATCTCTAAGATCCTTCCTTCCAGCTTATTCCGCTGTGGAGGTCCTGGAAACCAAGCAAGCCTTCGTGGAAAAGAGGCTGTATTTAGGTTTTAAAGAAAGGCCAAGGATATACACTAGCAGGGTGGAACGGAATGGAATCCCAAGTGCAGCTTCTTTTGATCAATTAGCTTTTCTTTTCTATAAAGTCAAAGGAAGGCACTTTTGAGGATAAGGCATAGACTTGCGCACATCTTTCCTCTATAAAAGAGGGACTGAGGCCCGGTGGAAGGAGATAATGGCGGAGAGGCACGGCTAGCAGTTAAGACGCTAATTGAACCATGCGCATGCGCTTCAGATGGTCGATGCGCGGGAGACAGGAGCTGGGAGAGCCCTTCAATAATTTCCCATCAACTTGGGAATTTATGTAACCACCAGGCCTCATTCTGTCGCTGGCTCACACCCATTATTTTGAAATGGATGATAAGGCGAGTCCCGGATGCCTAATACCCTGGGAAATGCCGTTTCCTGTCGCCAGAACCCTGCTGTGGTCATGATGTTTTCTTTTTCTCTAAGGCTATGATGATGAAACAAATGTGTGACCTCTTAGTTGTAGTTACTGGTGGGCGGAGACGCTTCTTAACATAAAAAAATCAGCACTAAGAAAATGATCTCTGCCTCAAATTATAATATCCAAGTGCCGGGACAAACTGGTTTTTACAAAATGTTTGACCATCTTTAACTTGATCTCTGTATAAATCAAATAGCTTAAATCAGTTAACAAAAGATAAACTACTAAAATCAAGAACTATAAATTAATACAAGAATAGCTAACAATTATTGTAAAGTTATTTTAATATAACAGTGGAACAGATTAGCATCTAGAAACAGATCCAATTACATGTGGGCCTTAATAAACACAAGAATGGCATTTTAATTCAATGGGAAATGGTTTATTTTATAAATATTGCTGACATTATTGACTGTTCTTTTGGAAGGTCTTATCACAGAGTTGCTTATTATCCAATCTCCCCTTGGCCATCCTGGTACTGAGTGGGCACATGGCCACCCCAATGAGTACTATTTTTCCTAGCCTCCTTTTTAGCTAGGATGGATCGTGTGACTAAGTTCAGGACAACAGGCTATGAGTGGAGGCGGTGCAGGCAACTTCTGGGTGGAGTCCTGAAAGGACCAGGATGCGCCCATCTTCTCCCCTGCCCTTCTCCTGCTGACAGGAACGTGGACATGGCAGTGAGCCATCTTGGATCAGGAAAATGAACGGTGGTGCAAGAGCATAAAAGGAGGCTGGATTCTTGGATGATCTCACACAGTGGTCCCCATACCAGTCCTGGAATGCCCATCTTCAGACTATGAGAGAGAAATAAATTATATCCTGTATAAGTCACAGCTATTGGAGGTTTTTGTCACGTGCAACCAAATCCATAACCCAACTAATGCAGAACATCTTCCCTCCTGCTTTACACCATAAACAGACAAAAATTGAAGATGGATCAAGAAAGATCTAAATGTACCATTTACTTTTCCCAATAATCACAGTTTGGAGACTCCATTGTTCAGAACTAATCTATCGTAAGAACCTTAAAGATTCTGACTGCAGCATTATTATGACAACAAATGTTTGTCAATACAGGAGTAGATAAATGTAGTCTTGCATGCTCTTTCTATGATTTATTGTGCAGTTATTAAGAAGGATGAATTAGATTTACATTTATTGACCAGGAAAATAGTCATGATGTATTGTTAAAGTTAAACAGTTTGAGGCGTGGTGAGGAATTTTTCCTTTTCTTGTTTTTTTTTTGTGTGTGGTAAAACATACATAACATAAAAATAACCATTTAAACCATTTTTGTTTTTTAAAGATTGGCACCTGAGCTAACAACTGTTGCCAAGCTACTTCTTTTTTTTTTTCCTGCTTTTTCTGCCCCCCCCCCCCCATATAGTTGTATATTTTCAGTTGTGGGTCCTTCTAGTTGTGGCATGTGGGATGCCGCCTCAGCATGGCTTTGTGAACGGTGCCATGTCCGTGTCCAGGATCCAAACTAGCGAAACCCTGGGAGGCCTGAAGCGGAGTGCGCGAACTTAACCACTCAGCAACAGGGCCAGCCCCCTAAACCATTTTTAATTGTATACTACAGTGCCTTTAAGCACATTCATATTGTTGTGCAACCATCACCGCTATTTATCACCAGAGCTTTTTTGTCATCCTGTACTGAAACTCTGTACCCAGTAAGCAGTAACTGCCCATTCCTTCCCCGTCCCTGGTAACCAGGGGTAAGCACTGTTCTACATTCTGTCTCTATGAATTTGACTACTCAAGGTATCTCATTTAAGGGCAATCATACAGTATTTGTTCTTTTGGGTCTGGCTTATTTCATTTGGCATAATGTCTTCAAGGTTCATCCATGTTGTAGCATGTGTCAGAATTTCCTTCCTTTTTAAGGCTAAGATTCCATTGTCTGGTTATGCTACATTTTGTTTGTCTATTCATCTGTTGATGGACATTGGGGTTGTTTCTACATTTGGCTATTGTGAACGATGCTGCCACGAACCTTGGTGTACAAGTATCTGTTCGGGTTCCTGCTTTTAATTCTTTGGTGTATATACCCAGAAGTGGAATTGCTGCATGAAAAGGTAATTCTATGTTTAACCTTTTGAGGAACTGTCATACTGTTTTCCGCAGCAGCTGCAGCATTATGCATTCCCACCAGCATTGCGCAAGGATTCCAGTTTTTTGATAATAGCCATCCTAATGGGTGTGTAGTATCTCACTGTGGTTTTGATTTTCATCTCCCTAATGATTAGTGCTGTCGAGCATTTTTGCAAGTGCTTATTGGCCAATTACATATCTTCTCTGGAGAAATGTCTATTAAGGGCTTTGCCCATTTTTTGAATTATGTATTTGGTTTCTTGTTGTTGAGTCTTAGGAGTTCTCTACATATTCTGGGTATATGTCTTATCAGATATTTGATTTGAAAATATTTTCTCACATTCTATGAGTTGCCTTTTTACTCTGTTAATTGTGTCCTTTGATGCAAAAAAGTTTTAATGTTGATAAAGTCCAATTTGCTATTTTTGCTTTTGTTGCCAGTGCTCTTGATGTCATATCCAAGAAATCATTGCCAAATGCAATGTCATGAAGATTACCCCTTCTTCTTCTAAGAGTTTTATAGTTTCAGCTCTTATGTTTAGATTCTTTTATCCATTGTGAGCTAATTTTTGTGTGTGGTATTAGGTAAGGATCCACTTCATTCTTTTGCATGTGGCTATCCAGTTTTCCCAGCATTATTTGTTGAGAAGACTGTCCTTTCTCTATTGAATGGTCTTGGCACCTTTGTCAAAAATCAGTTGACTGTACATGCAAGGGTTTATTTCTGGAATCTCTCCTCTATTATGTTGGTCTATATGTCTGTCTTTATGCCAGTACCACACCATTTTGATTATTGTAGCTTTGTAGTAAATTTTGAAATCAGAAAGTATGAGTCTTCCAAATTTGTTTTTATTTTTCAAGATTGTTTTGGCTATTTGGGATCCTTTGAGAGTCCATATGAATTTTAGGAGGGATTTTTTTCTATTTCTGCAAAAAATGTCTTTGGGGTTTCGATAGGGATTGCATTGACTCCGTGGATTGCTTTGGGTAGCATTAACATCTTAAAATTAAGTCTTCGAATCCAGAAACACAAGATGTCTTTCCATTTATGTTTTCTTTCATTTCTCTCAGCAATGTTTTGTGGTTTTCAGTGTACAAGTCTATCACCTCTTTGGTTAAGTTACTTCCTAAGTATTTTATTCTTTTCGGTGCTATTGTAAATGGAATTGTTTTCTTAATTTCCATTTCAGATTTTTGTTGTTAGTGCATAGAAATGCAAATGATTTTTGAGCATTGATTTTGTATTCTGTTACTTTGCTGAATTCATCTATTACTACTGTTTTTTTTAAATTATTTTATTTTATTTTTACTTTTTTCAGATGTACATCACATTTCAAATTCTGTGTACATTACATCG